GATTCTTTTTTCCGTTAACATTAGACAAGGGGAGAAATTAACTATGCTAAATGGTGGATATTATTAAGTTGTGGCCTTCAAAATAAGATTAGGCAAAGTCATGGAGAAAATACAGGTAGTCCTCGACTTACGACCACAAATGAGCCCATTTCCATTGCTAGGCGAGATGATTGTTAAATGAGTTTTGCCCCATTTTACACCTTCTTTGCCACAGTTGTTAAGTAAATCACTGCAGTTAGTAAAATGATTAAGTGAATCTGGCTTCCCCATTAACCTTTGCTTGTCAGAAGCTGGCAAAAGGTGACTTGGGACACTGCAACTGTCATAAATACATGCCAGTTGCCCAGTGTCCGAATTTTGAACACGTGACCATGGGGATGCTGCAGGGGTTGCAAGTGTAAAAAACAGTCATACACAATTTTTTTCAGTGCTGTTCTCACTTTGAACAGTCACTAAACAAATTATGGTAAGTCGAGAACTACCTGTATGTTACCTATACTGTTGGAGGCAGCTGGGACACAAACGGTGCAATGCAGTGTCCATGTTCTGCTTGTGTCTCATACATCTGATTAAACAGTGTAATGACATAGTACTGGGAAGAAGGCATGACTTTTCATATATTGATTGTCATTTTTAAGGACTCTATAAAGCCGTGATGGCAAACCTATGGCATGCGTGCCACTGGTGGCAGCAGCGCCGTTTGTGGGCACGCGAGCCATTGGCCTAGTTCAGCTCCACCGCACATGCGCACACGCCTCCCACTGGGCAGCTGGTCATTGGGCCTCTGCTGCGCATGCACGGGGTCTGTGTGGTGTGGAGGGGGCTCATGCACAGGAACACATGCAGGGGGGGGCGCGTGGGGGGGCCTGTGCACTTCTCCCAGAAAAGGTTAGCCATCACTTCTATAAAGGGTTCTGTGAGACTGGGGGAAAATGCATCTCTCTATGAGGGTCTCAGTCTTTGTCCCTTGCAGATATTTCTTTCCTTCTTAGTCACTAAGGCAGGAGTCGCCAACCTTTTGGACCTCAGGGACCACCAAATTCATAATTTAAAATCCTTCAGACCACTAATATGAATTTTGACTGATGGTGGCTTCAGGAAAAAAGGCTGCAGGAAAATTCCCCACCCGGTTTTCCTACCAATCAATCATTCTTTATTTGGGATCACAGGATACCGTCTCCAGCTCCATTCTCAGGGGGAGAGAGAGAGAGACTTTTGGTTTCATGCAAGGAAAGCAGCAGAAGTCTTTCTCTTCCTCAAACTCCGCCAGAAATGAGTCTTTGCCTGCACAGCCTCTTGGAGCAGGATGCCTTGCAGGGTCCCAAAGACTCATTTCTGATGGAGTTTGGGGGGAAGAAAGAAAGACTTTTGCTGCTTTCCTTGCATGCAGCCAAAAGCAGAAGAAAGAAGCAGCTTGGTAGCCAGGCCAGGCCAGGGAAGTGGGGCAAGTACCCCCCCTTCATCCTTTTCCCTTCCCCTCACTACCTCGTGTTGTTCGCAATGCAAGCAACACAAGCCTTGTGTTCCCAAGCAGCCTGGATTAATGCTTTGGGAGGTACTTTGGGGGTGATATTTCTCTGCGGACCACCAAAATTTTCTTGCGGACCACCATTGGTCCCCGGCCCACTGGTTGGCAACCATTGCATTAAGGTACAGAAAAAAGAACAGAGATGTTAGCTGACCTTCAGAAGCCCCAGCATGTTTAATCATGCTTTTTTTTTAACAAGCAGGTTTCATTTCACAGCCTGAAAAGGTTTGAAAAACTCATTAATAAACTATATTTGAGAAATATATTGATATTTTTTATCTTTTATCATTTGCAGGGGAGAATTTTATGTAGATCTATTAGCATGATTTAGATTAAATGGATTGTATTTTTATAATGTAGGAATTGAATTTCTTGAGCTATTTTACAAGTTCCCAAATCAAAGAAATAAATATTAAAATAACACATTTTATAATTGTAGTTTGCATTATAAAGTCTTTTAAAATTTAAAAGGCAAAATATTTTTAGTAAAATAAAAACAGACAAATAACATCCTAAACAAATCTAAGGTTGCTGAATATTGCACAAAACTGGGGAAATTATTTGCCTGGAACTAAAAACAGACACATGGATTCAACCTTTGAAGACATTGAAAAGCTTCCATTTCTAGTGGCCACCTAGTAATACGAATTTGCATACAGTAGCTCCAGTAATTATCACAGGATGATGAATATTAGGAATATGTGAAAAATACTGTTCATTTGGGATACATAATTTTAAAAAATCAATTTTAATTGAATCTTGAAATGGATTAAGAACCAATAAAGAAATAATTTAATTAGTGTCTGATCTTGCTCTTATATTCTGGAGAAACAAGAAAAATCTATTTTCACATACAGGGAAAAAAAGCCCAGAAACCATCAAATAAGGCAACCAGCATAGCTTATTTTAATGAAACGTTTTAATTTGGGTTTTGTTATTATTATTACCTTTATTGTCAGAGTACAACATGTGTACAATGAGACTGGCTGAGCTTCCCTTCGTGACCCTTCCCCACAACACAACTCACAGTAAGGGCAGAAGTCCCTAACCCAGACCCAATCTTATTACACTATGTGACCTTGTTGCACAAAGTGCGCACCCTACAAGTCTACCATACTATGTTGACATGAAGTTATTTTCTGTTCAGAAGTCTGTCAGCCCACAGGTAGAAACTGTTCTTCAGCCTGTTGGTGTGGCTGGCTATGCCTCTTTAGAGAATTGAAATTGCTGTGTGAAATAATAATGGGATATAACCATTAGGTATATATAACCCATTGATAATGCTGAATGTACATTATGAAAACATTCAATTGTTGGGTGTGAACAACTACAGATGTTTTCTTACAGCAAATCAAAGCACTGGTATATCTAAAGGAATTCTGTGCCTCTGATTCCATCAAAATAAATTTGGTTGCTATTCATTTCCCCATCACATTCTTATGATTGATGAATAGCTGGATAAACAAAACAATCAGATTGCTTACATCTTGACTCTCCAGTAGATTTTATTCACTCAGATCATTCCTATGTGCCATTTGGATGATGACAGCAAAGTGCTTTACAGAGGCATGTGAGTTAATGTCCAAGCAACATGGCCAGACTTACCAAATATGTGATAGGTATAAACTGTCTAGTACCTCTTAACCCCTCATATTCAGTAATAGAAGAAACTTCAAAGACTTTATATGGCTGAATCAGTTACTTCATTACAGAAATGAAAAAGTAATAAATGGAGATGTATCTACTGCAGAAAGCAGGAAGCTAGCCATATACACACACGTCATTAGATGCTTGGTTATTCCTTTTAAACTATTTACGTAATTTTGTCTGCCCTGGGAAGCAAGGATTTCTGCTTCCTGAGTATCAGTTTTCATGGCTGATACTGATTGAGGCCATCCAGCTGAAGTTGACCAAGGGAATTGCTGAGGCCAAGTAGTTTTTAAGATCTTCAAAAAAGACTGGACCTCCATGGGTCATTTCTGCAAAAGATAAAACTAATTGTAGAGCAGAAACCGGATCCCAACAATTCAGTACCATCATGTGCTTTGGGAAGGGAGCTGCTTTTGTATCAGAAAGAGATAGATGGCTGCGGGCCAAAGCCAATTTATTTGGTTTCCCAGTTTGGTTTAGTGGTTAAGGCACAGACTACAAAACAAGGAGACCCTGAGTTCAAGATCCATCTTAGCCATGAAAGCCAGCTGGGTGATTTTGGGTCAGGCACACTGTCTCACACCAAGCCACCTCCCAAGATTGTGAAGAAATTAGGAGGTAGAGGTTTGCTGCCTTATTTGTAAAAAATAATAAAGACGACACAAATAACAGTGTTCTGTATAATGTATAGCCATGCTGGCCATGTGACTATAGCAAACAATGCTAGCTCCCTCAGCCAAAAAACGGAGTTGAGCACCACACCCCAGAGTTGGACATGACAGGGATACTTTAATCTTTTTAACAAAAAAGATCAAAAATGGGTAATTTCTTCTCAGTTAAATTTGGGAATGAGTATATTTGCTACCATCCCACAATGATAAATCCAAAATCAATTTATTGGCATGGCTCTGATTAATTTTCCTTTAGCTTTCTTTTCTCACCTTTCAGCCTCGCATAAAAACATAAGTCTCATTTCATAACTCATGTTATTGGAGTAGGACGGGGGCGGGAATTCAGGTTTGAGTCCATTCTCAACCATGGAAACTGACTCACGTGGGGCTTTGGAGCTCTGGGGGGAGTGTTCTTGGGCTCTTAGGATGGTATCTCCTTGGCTCCTTCCAGCTCTTGGGTTGTGATTTAAGTGCATCTTTAAAAAAAATTACAATAGCTACATCATCCCAAGGTCCAGAAACAAGAAATCTCAAAGAAGTATCGTCTGACTCTAAAACTATCATAACATCAGAAAGAAGACTAAGGAAAGATTACATGGAAATGCTGCAGAATATGCTCCAAAATTCATTATATAAACCCAGGGCCATACAGCCGAAAACATGCTTCTAATTCCACCCACGGGAACCTAGTACCGTAGATGCATTTTACAAAATGCATGATCCGCACTCGCAGAAATTAGCACGGCGGTAATTCCATCAATCGCCCCATTGCTTTAAGACGCCTGAAGCCTCTTCTTAGGAAGAAAATGGAGCACAGCTCACTAACATACTTCCGTCTCTTAAACACCGCGTGATTTGCCCGGCTTCCGCCCTAACTATAGACGCCAAGCGGCGGCGGCGGCGACGTGGATATTTCTTTTGACTCTTATGCGACCGAAGCTTTTCTCGCCGGCTGGTCCTTCTTGTGCCGACGTGTGCTGAGAATTCTGCGCCTGCGCCACGTCAAGAAGGTCGGATCTGCGCATGCCTAGTCGAGATCAAAGCGCTGTGGTACCGAGAGCTACGCTAGAGAGGAGGGGAGTCGAGGAAACAGCAGCTTAGTGCGGAATTGGCATGAGTTGACCTTTGACCCCGGCTTCGCTGATCCAGTCATGCCTCCTCGCCGGCCGCCCGAGCTCTACCGGGCTCCGTTCCCGCTCTATGCCCTCCGCATACACCGTGAAGCTGGACTGGCGCTGATCGCGGGGGGAGGCGGCGCCGCCAAAACGGGGATCACGAATGGCTTGGTATGGAAACTACCGGAGTAGGGCACACCCCTCCTCCTGCCCTCGGATTCGCCTTCTGTGTGTTGGCCGGAAGATCCCCTCCTGCCCCTAGAGCTGTAGCCCACCACCCGGTTAGGGGAATGGGGAGGGGTGGTGGTGTTTGCTGCAACTGTCAGAACAAGGTTTGTGCAGCATTGGACGAAGTTGCTTTGGTGTGGGGAGCACAGGGAGCATTATATAGACTCCAAAGGAAAAACGTGAAAAGGACACCAAGGGGGAAAGTGGCTACGCAGGAACTACGGGTTGTCCTTTCAGGCAAGCACAAAACCATGCTTGAAGAAGAGTTGTGCCCTCTTCTGTACTCATCCTTTGGTACAATGGTAAGGAAGGACAAATCTTGTCATCCCTGGCAAGATTTGCCCTTGGGTAGATAAGGAAGAAGGCCGTTTTGCAGAGGTAGTTGTGCATCATCCTTCCTTTTTCTATTTTGTTCCCCAAGCATTTCTTGCAGCTGGACTGGAGAGATGGCAAGTTATCTGCCTCACTGCTACATGCTCATGACACAGAGACCCGGGCTACCATGACTATGGCGCTGGCAGGAAATTTTATTGCTGCAGGGCAGGATGCTACTTGCCATATCCTGAGTTTCCAGCTCTTTAAATCTGGGCAGAAAACAGGTGGCAGCAGTGGCGATAGTGCTAAAGCAGGTGAGAACCTAACATTTATTTAGCTACAGAATTGAATTCCTAATATATTAAGGCCCAGAACAATAGCGGTCTAAAAACTAAGGTAAAAGTGAAAACAGCAATACTTACAAATCTTGCTGATGCTGAAAATGGACAAGATCTGCAGAAGAGAAAGTTGGGAGCCGCTGGTCAGAGAGGTTTATAGTATATTTCCTGATGTGCCATTATGCCTTTAGGTGCTGGTGATAAGGATCTACGGAGACGCAAGGCCCCTGTCCCTAGTGAGAAAAGCAATGGCAATACACACAAGGAGATGACAGAGGTGGCAGTGGAAACTTTGCACTGTGTCCAAACAGACACCAGCCCAGATACTCTACAGAAGGCTGTGTGCTTCAGTGATGATCATACCCTTATGGCTACTGGTGGCGTGGATGGATTCCTGCGAGTCTGGGAGGTATACCTGTATGGGGAGATGAAGAAATGGCTTGGTGTGTGTTGGGGAGCAAGGCTACAATGGTGAAGAGAAGAAGAGGAAGACTTGGGTTGCACAGCACTTCTTTTGTACATAAGTGTGGACATGGAGGTGATGGTAAATCTCTTTTCTCTTCCATCTTCCACAGTTTCCTAGCATGAAGAAAACTCTTGAATTCCAGGCACACAATGGTGAGATAGAGGATATAGCATTGGGTCCTAATAACAAGGTGAGAAGACTGAGATTTATTTGTTTCTACTGCTTATTAAGTGAAGTGATCTTAGGTGCCAATGAAGAAGGCAACATTGCACAATCTTCCCAGATTATATTCCATCAGGCTGAGGGAACAAGAGGAGAGAAGGGTTTGGAAAGAGCAAGTGATAGAATTGAAAATGGCCCAAGGAGACAGGGATAGAAAGAGTTTCTGGAGAGATAATGTGGTAGACATTATGAGGACATAGATAATTTGCACAAATAAGAGTTTTTAAAAATCCATTTCTTTTTAAAGATATTTAATAAAAACTAATTTATTTCTTTGCTATCCTGAACCTTCCCCACATTTTGCCATTTCCTTCAAGTCTGAGAGGATGTCTGAATCCTAAGGGATTTAGGGATTAGTAGTGATAGTGGAATAATAAGATAATTAGCAAAAAGATTGCCACAAGAGAGTAGCATATGGCAATCCTTCCCCACATCCAAAGGAAAAAACTCAGAAAATCAATCAAACGTTTATTGTTAATGCACAACATGTGTACCATGAAATTGAAAAAAATCTTGTCTTTCTCCAGTTTTCCCAAAGGCACCCAGCCAGCTTTCATGCTGATGTGAATCTAGGCAATTACACATTATTAAATTAACCATGGTCAAACAAATAATGGTTTAGTGTTATAGATGAATAGCCTTTGCTCAAAACAGTAATGTGAAAGACAGTGTGAAGGAATTATGTATCATTCTTATCTAGGCAAGTTGAATAGCCTTAAGAGTAGAGCACCACTGAATTATGTAGCCGCCTCTGACAGTCCACAGCATTTTCTGCTACTTTCTGGAGTAAGGAAAGGCATAGAAAGCAAGAAAATGCAATATTTCCATATTGGAGCATGCTTTCCATTGCACAGAACAGTTTCTGAAATCAAAAGAAATAGCTTTTTAAAAGCACGGATTGTCAGACTCCTTGCTGCTGTATATGAAATGTGCATACCATTTAAAACTGGGAAGGGATTTCAAATCCAACAGGGACCAGAACAATATCAGATTTTTGGTTGCTGCTAACTTTGATAGTTCCCAGGAAAGATAGAAGGAAGGAAAACATTCAGAGACAAATAAATATGTGAGGACACAGAGCACCCATTAAAGATTCATAAAACAGAGAACAGTTTGACTGTTACTTGATACTTGATGAAGCACAGTGGAATAGTTGAAACTCTTTTATCTTTGGGTAAAGACTGGCTGGCATTGTTTTTATGGCCAAGAGATAGTAATGGTGGTTGGGGACCATGGCTGCTCATATTGCTTCTCTCCAGGTGGTGACCGTGGGACGGGACTTCCAGTGTTGTGTGTGGCAACGAGATCAGATGGTGATGGGTCTGCGTTGGAATGAAAATCTTCCAGGCATTCCAGACAAGACCTACCGCTACCAGTCTTGCAAGTAAGGGAATACATAGACAGTTGGTCTGGACCATACATGTGTATTTTCTATTTGGATGTTTCTTCCTTCTTCCACAGGTTTGGTACAGTTGAAGACCAAGCCAAGGCATTGCGACTGTACACGGTGCAGATCCCCTACAAGCGTGAACGACGTCCGCTTCCCTGCTACATCACCAAATGGGATGGACATAGTTTTTTGCCCCTGCTCACTCGTCCCTGTGGCAATGAGGTCATCTCATGCCTCTCTGTAAGGTGAGAACTTGGTTTTCCTGTGTTCCAATTTCACAGAAGAAAGAGTTCTGGTTCTGTTTTGCATAACACCCTTAACCTAAGGATGACTAAACAATGCTTTTTTGCAAATTTTCTGCATTTGCACTATATTTAACCATATAGACTGGATTTGCACAACATGTTACCTGTAGCACACTTGGGCCACTTGGCCTGTATGTTGTAAAATGGTGGTGTTAGATGTGTGCCCGAATAGGAGCTGAAGCTCCGTAATAGCAAACTGTAGCCTCTCAGACCCATTTTTCCTCTACTAGCCAGTAGGATTAATGAGAAGGGACTTTGCAAACACCTTGAAAAGTTAGTTTGGGTATTTCAAGGCTGGAGCCTGCTTGGCCTTCAGAGGAAATGCTAGTCCTCTAAAACACATTTCTCTATGTATATTAGTGTACATGAATGTTATGGGGAATGCACATGGCTCTCTTTCTGTGCTTTCAGTGAGACAGGCACATTCCTGGGTTTGGGCACTGTCACAGGCTCGGTTGCCATCTTCGTCGCCTTTTCTTTGCAGGTATGAGTTTACCTCTCCAAGATTGCGTATACATAATGCTCAGCTAGCTGGGCCAATCCCAGCACACACAAAGCCTGGTCAAGGCACAAGCCATTGTTGGGGTGAGGATGTTGATGCTTACAGTGTTTCAAAGTCATGGTTGGTCTAAGGCTGGTATGCGTACAGTTGCAAGATCTTGCAGCAGGCTCTATAGGGAAAGGAGAGGATTACCTTGACTCCTGAGAGTCACTGTCAGATTTCCTCCAATTCTGTGTTTCTTTCTACTTCTCCAGAGACTGTACTACGTGCGGGAAGCACATGGCATAGTGGTCACTGCTGTGGCCTTCCTACCTGAGACTCCTGAACTGCTGAAGAGCAATGAGGCAGCCCTGCTAAGTGTGGCTGTTGACAGCCGCTGCCGCCTGCACCAGATTGCCTGCCGGCGTATGTTCAAAGCTGGGATGGTGGATTTAAATGTGGGATGGGAGTCCTGCCCTGCCAATATGGGGCCTTCTACGAACTCTTGGTGATTCAATGCTCTTTCTCTTCCCAGGGAGTTTCCCCATCTGGCTGCTGCTGCTCTTCTGTGCTGGGCTGATTGTGGGCACGGTCCTGTTACTACAGTTGGCCTTCCCAGGGTTCCTCTAATCTTTCTTCATGGTGAGGTTCCTGGAAAGCTTGGACCTTCTCTGCCCTTCCTGTAAAGGATGCATCTTCTCCTTTCTTACCTCAGAAACTGGAGAGGGGATCCAGAAGCCAGGGCAATGGTTGCCCTAGTGAAGTGCGTGGTCTGGTGGACTTGGCCAAGTTGGAGGCTGGGCCTCACATTGATCAGGTTTTGGCCTTGAGCAATTCTTGTCTTAAGCCCTTCACGCTGAATGGGGATGAAGGAACTCTACGCCTCCATTTTTGACTGATCTGTGAGAAACATTCCAGCATTATTTGCTCTGAGAAAGATTTCCCGTTTAAGCTCAGGGCTTAAACCTTGTATTATTAAACACAATGATGGAGCAGAACCTTTCCTTCCTGCCTGCCTTGTTGGTTACTTCTCCATTTCCTTTTGGCTTGAGCAGAGCTGGAGGTCATAGCAGTAGAGGGGTTCTTTGGGGCCAGAAACAAAGGAGGCTGCAGCTGCTCCATGAAGACTCACCAAGAGACTGTCATTTGGAATAGCTCTGCCATACCAAGTCTAACAGGAATGAAGCTATTTTCTTATTTTTCTGCCATGGCTATGTAAGAGGAGGGGGTGGAGAAGATTAGGGGTTTGGGGATTCCCTTCCCTCTTGAGCAAGGCTTCGAGAACATCTACAGCTTGACTCCAAGAATCTCTCTAAAATACTCTGAATGTATACATAGAGCAAAGATGTTTGTGTTCATGCACATGCATAGTCTGTTTACAGTTTGCTTATGTCAGCAAATCATAGCTGTTCTCATGAAAAATCTGAGGATTTTCAGCAATTAACAGGGTTTCAAGCATTCTCCAGTATAGATTGTTCCATGAAGTGTACATTTATTTCCCCTCTTTCATTAGGTTGATTTCTTATTTTGGGACTTGGAAATATGTCAGCAATATCATACTTGTTCAATTATTTTAAATTCCCAGAGTTTATTGGGTCATCACTTTTTCATAAAAGTGAAAATCATGACTGCTGATATAGTATGCTGGCTTTTGCCAATCAAAAAAAAAAAAAATGAAAATGGTCACAATCTGAAAAGAATGTTAGGATAGGTGGTTCTGCATCAAGGAAGCAAGAGAAGGAATTAATCTTCCTTCTCTTGCTCCCCTGATGCAGAGCCATCTATCCTAACATTGTCTCAATTGAGTGAGCCAGTAACAGAAGATCAAATGAACAGAAACTTGAAGTTTCTTGTTCTTAATCATAGAGAAAGTCTTGGAGCAGCCTTTAAGGATCAGCCATTGTTGGTCCGTTGCTACATGACCTTCATATATACTATTTTTATGTTAAATAGCAATCTTTTGGGCTGTCTTCTTAACTACTTAACTAATTAGATGATGGCTACATTAAGATACCATGTAAACAATTTTAGGGGATTTTTTGTTGTGCTCAACTTACTTGGCTACATAATGGTTCAGAAGGTTGCTTATTTCAGTCATTGGGATAAGCATGTTATACAACTACAACTGCATTCAAAAATGGCCTTTTGACTTCCATGTCCTTGGTGATGTTTAGTTACTTCATTCTTCCACAACAAATATATTTCTGCATCAAAATTTCATGGTGCGGAAAATAGGACTATTGGGAGAAATCTGGCAAGATCACAGAGTCTTTCAGACCATTTGAGAAGTTCCACCACTCACTGTCCTAGTTTACACATTATACCATACAGCTTCTTTGGCTTTTCTCTTAGTTTGAAACGAGACATTCATAGCTTGGTAAATCACAGTTCAGCAATATATTATCTAGAATAATGTGAATTCTCTCTGCAATTAAGTCTATATTTGCCCTGATAGCTTGGCTTTGTATGATAATGGTGGTTTGAAATTTCTTTTCTTTTTTTTAAATTCAGAAGCTACTGAGAGAATATAACATTGTCTTTTAATAGAGTCAAGTAATCTACCAGGGCTTTGTCTACTAACAGATGATTTCCAGAGTTGTAGGTGGCAGATCTTTCATTGGCCTAAAAGTTGAATCTATGTAGATATATCCATGCTATAACCATTCTTGCTTGCAGTCATATTTCCTGATTGGGAAGAACTTGAGCAATAATATTTATTGTGATATAGTAGCACTATTTTTCTGTTCTTCCCTTTCCTGAATCTCCAACATGCTAGCTGAAAGTAAGGGAAGCAGTAACTTCTCTTATTTTTTCCTAAATGACCAGCTTTTATTACTTTATTCTATTTGTGTCATCTTTTCAACTGTATAATGAAATAGCCCAGTTTTACATCTTATGGGGGGGGGGGAAATATGTACTTTTACTGGTTACGAACTGATTTGGTCTAGATACCAAAAGTTATTGTAGAAGATGGCAGCAACTAAACATTGGCTAATCTTGACAGATTCAATTGGGACATGGATGAGACCCCTCCAGGAAATTGCAATTGTTGGCTAGACCAGGAAATTGGAAAATCACACCAGAAGAGGGCAGTGGCAAACCACTCCCATTGTGCTGCAGGATTCAAGCTTGACCAAGAGAACTTTACTTTTTTCTTACCAAAACCAAAATAATGGTCCCTCTGCTAGGGTCGCTCTTCTCTTGGGGAAGGTTGATCCAGGTTTCATGCAATGGAAGTACAGGTGAAACTCGAAAAATTAGGATATCGTGCAAAAGTTCATTTATTTCAGTTATGCAACTTAAAAGGTGAACCTAATATATGAGATAGACTCATTACATGCAAAGCAAGATAGTTCAAGCCGTGATGTGTTATAATTGAGATGATTATGGCTTACAGCTCATAAAACCCCCAAATCCACAATCTCAGAAAATTAGAATATTGTGAAAAGGTTCAATATTCTCGGCTCAAAGTGTCCCACTCTAATCAGCTAATTAAGCCATAACACCTACAAAGGGTTCCTGAGCCTTTAAATGGTCTCTCAGTCTGGTTCAGTAGGACTCACAATCATGGGAAAGACTGCTGACCTGACAGTTCTGCAGAAAACCATCATTGACACCCTCCATAAGGAGGGAAAGCCTCAAAAGATAATTGCAAAAGAAGTTGGATGTTCCCAAAGTGCTGTATCAAAGCACATTGATAGAAAGTTATGTGGAAGGGAAAAGTGTGGAAGAAAAAGGTGCACAAGCAGCGGGGATGACTGGAGAGGATTGTCAGGAAAAGGCCATTCAAAAGTGTTGTGGACTTTCACAAGGAGTGGATTGAGGCTGGAGTCAGTGCATCAAGAGCCACCACACACAAACGGATCCTGGACATGGGCTTCAAATGTCGTATTCCTCTTGTCAAGCCGCTCCTGAACAGCAAACAACATCAGAAGCATCTTACCTGGGCTAAAGAAACACAGAACTGGTCTGTTGCTCAGTGGTCCTCTTTTCTGCTGAGAGCAACTTTTGCACCTCATTTGGAAACCAAGGACCCAGAGTCTAGAGGAAGAATGGAAAGGCACACAAGATGCTTGAAGTCCAGTGTGAAGTTTCCACAGTCTGTGTTGATTTGGGGAGCCATGTCATCTGCTGGTGTTGGTCCACTGTGCTTCATTAAGTCCAGGGTCAACACAGCCGTCTACCAGCAGATTTTGGAGCACTTCATGCTTCCTTCTGCAGACGAGCTTTATGGGGATGCTGACTTCATTTTCCAGCAGGACTTGGCACCTGCCCATACTACCAAAAGCACCAAAACCTGGTTCCATGACCGTGGGATTACTGTGCTTGATTGGCCAGCGAACTCGTCTGACCTGAACCCCATAGAGAACCTATGGGGCATTGCCAAGAGAAAGATAAAAGACATGGGACTGAGCAATGCAGAAGAGCTGAAGGCTGCTATTGAAGCATTCTGATCTTCCATAACACCTCAGCAGTGCTACAGGCTGATAGCTTCCATGCCATGCCGCATTGAGGCAGTAATTGCTTCAAAAGGGGCCCAAACCAAGTACTGAGTACATATGCATGCTTATACTTTTCAGAGGTCCGATATTGGTCCTTGTACATTCCTTGTTTTATTGATTGCATGTAATATTCTAATTTTCTGAGATTGTGGATTTGGGGTTTTCATCACCACAATTATGACAAATCACGGCTTGAACTATCTTGCTTTGGATGTAATGAGTCTATCTCATATATTAGTTTCATCTTTTAAGTTGCATTACTGAAATAAATGAACTTTTGCACGATATTCTAATTTTTTGAGTTTCACCTGTATTTGTAGCTGATTTTTTAGAGGAGAAAAAAGACCACACACTATTAATTGTTCCCCAAGGCAGAAACATTAAGAGCTCTAGAAGATTGAATTAAAGTATCTTAACAAATTACCTTCCCAACTGCAGCAAAGGCTGGTTGGGAGAAATTCAGACTGAAAATGGGGAAGGGGATTGTAGGATGAAGTGTCTGGTAATCATCTCCTTTTTTGCAGAGCACATTCTAAGATGTGGCATCAGGTATAGTATACAACCCACTATTTTACCTGGGGTTTGCTTGAATTTTTAGCCAAATATTTTCATACGGAAAAGCACACAAAACTCTCCTTTACAAGAGAATCCAGGATGGAGGAATTAAAACAACAGGGAACAGTTGGTGTCCTCTTTATATATAGAACAAACAGCCATATGCCAAAATGCTAGGAAAACAATCCTGGATTTTGCTGATCATTATTACAGCATCTTCATCTGTAGTTGCCATTCATAGCAGCAGATTCTGGCTAGGAGTCCTTTGGGAAAGGAAATAGGTACCCTAGGAGGACAGAAAGGATGTTGTGCATGGTGGCCCAACTGGTTTTGCCTGAGGGGGTTTATCTCTCTAAGGGAGGTCATATTCACCCTTCTGTATGGTGGACGTCTTGAGTCTTGATCATGTGCTGATCAACGTTGTATTTAAGTTCTGTCCAAGTTGTTGGCTTCCCATGGCTACTGTTACAGCTGCCAGCTCCTCCTGATGTTTGAAAACAGCATCCATAAACTGACTAAAGACACGGTCCATGTAACTCTGATGGCGAGGTAGGAGCCCTTCTAGGAAGCCAATATGGCCGCCTCGTGCAGTCACTAAGAGGGCGAGGGTGGGAACGTGCTGTGCTGTCTCTGTGGGGATAGCTGGAAGAAGACAGAACAAATCAGAGCAGGCTCCCTAGTGATCTTTCTCTACCCCAGGAAAAGTATAGGACTCACCATGTTGAGGAGAGAAGGGGTCATCTGAAGCATTCAGGCACAACACCGGCACTTGCAGCTGATGCACCTTCTGGGAGGGACTGGCTTCCCGGTAATACTCCTGGCATGACTTGTAACCAAAGATCACAGATGTATAGCGCTCATCAAACTCCCGGATGCAGCGAGCCTGGGAGAGCAAACCCAAGGGTGGGAAAGAAGAGAGAGAGCACATAAGGGCCAAGGCATGGAACTGAGCTTGGGCCTAGAAAAGGTTGGGAGGGTGGAGAGATGGTACCTTCAGCACATGGTCCACATCCAATCTTCCTTCAGTGACCTTTCTATGCCTGGAAGGGAAAGAGTGTTATGATGAGACACAGAAAGTGGATTTTCTGAAAGGTAGTCGTGATAGCTGTCTGAGTTGGCAGAACTTAGGCAAGAAAAACCAGAGGTACACATATAGACTGGGTGTAACCAGGCTCAATAGCAGTAACTGTGAGAGGGATCTTGGAGTCTTAGTGGACAACCAGCTAAATATGAGCCAGCAGTGTGCAGCAGCAGCCAAAAAAAGCTAATGCAATCCTAAATTGTATTAACAGAGGGATACAGTCAAGATCAAGGGAAGTACTAATATCACTCTATAAAACCTTAGTAAGACCACACCTAGAGTACTGCATCCAATTTTGGTCACCACATTATAAAAAAGATGTTGAAACTCTAGAAAAAATACAGAGAAGAGCAACCAGGATGATTAGGGGACTGGAGACTAAAACATGAACGGTTGCAGGAATTGGGCTTGGCTAGTCTAGTGAAGAGAAGGACCAGGGGAGACATGATAGCAGTCTTCCAATATTTGAGACGCTGCCATAGAGAGGTAGGGGTCAATCTATTTTCTAAAGCTCCTGTAGGAGAGACAAGGAACAATGGATGGAAACTGAACAAGGAGATATTTAACCTGGAAATAAGGAGAAACTTTCTGACAGAACAATCAACCAATGGAACAGCTTGCCCTTGGAAGTTGTGGGAGTACCATCACTTGAGACTTTCAAGAAGAGATTGGACTCCCATTTGTCAGAAATGGTGTAGGGTCTCCCACTTCGGTGGGGGATTGGACTAGATGACCTACAAGGTCCCTTCCAACTCTGATTATCTGCTAAACTGGGACTCACCTATCTAAGTTTTCAATCTTGAGCTAGGCAAGTTCCCATTATAACATACACTCACCGTTTGACCAAGTTGCACAGGTTGGTTGTGAGGTACTGGTTGAAGAGGAATTGGTTGAGAGGCCGCTCAAGGGAACGGGTTGTCTCAAATGAGTCCCAAGTCACTGAGAAAGTCATGGCAGCCACCAGTCCAGCCTCCTGTCCCTTTTGCCCCAGATAGTTGAGCACCAGGATTCTGTCAAAAGAGAGTGAGTAGCTTTGGGCTGGGCTGAACACAAATGGAGTTGGTTTCTTCCTATCCCTTCTATGGTTAAATCAAAAGACAGCTGGGAGCTGAGAAATTGCCTATCTGAAGCTTTGACCTCTCATTCTATTCAGAAGTCATATTATAAATGCTACACTTCCCTAAAGAAATTCTATGTTCTAGAAAAAGTGTGTTTGGTGTTTCTGACTCATATCCATTGCCAACATGACTGAGCAAACAGATATCCGGGCTGCCTTTCATCTAGATTTATCAATTGGGGACAAAGTTCTATCTCAAACGTTTTGCCTTCGCTCTGTAATTGGTTCCAATATGAAAGAACAGGGTGACACTGATTTGTTCTGTGAGGCTGTTTTCTGGAGCTGTTTCACTGGTTCTCATTAGCCTCTTGGACTCTTGAGATAAATAATCAGACAGTCCATGAGCAGCTGGGAAAGAAAAAAACAGCCTCTATGGAGACTTTCATTTCTAGTTTTCCACACAGAGTATCTACATAACGAATAGGCAGTCTTTGACCTACATGCAATCATGAATACCCTCATCTCTGTAGCCCACAAAACATTTGCTTTTATTTATTTGTTGTCACGGGAGGGCAATGGATAGAAATGGGTGCCACAACTCTTTATATATGCTTTATTCCTCAAAAACTCCTGAATCACAATGACATTAGCCTGATCCTTGGAAAGATTAAGGGATAAAATGCCTCTGGTTTAGAACTGATTTTGCTCCCCCACATGCAGGAAAAAAATATATCCCCAAATGGATCATTCCTTCTCCATTGTCATTAAATTATCAGCCATAAAAGTTGCACATCTGTCGTATAATTACAATCTGGCTTCCAGGCTACATGGGGTAAGGAAAGGCCATTGAAAAAGCTAACAAAAAACAAAACAAAACAGCTTGCTGGGTTCAATCAGTAGGAACCTAGGGTATGATTGTACTGATACAAGGAATAATAAGATTTACATTTTCATTGGGAACATTATTGCAATAAATAACTATGTTTTACAGCTTTTTTTAAATAAAGGGCTTTGTTCTGCATTCCTTCTTATCTAAAAAAATGCTTACAGTAGTTTATAAAGAGTGATAAAATCAGGAAATAAATAGTGCTGCTGAAGTCATTCTCTTGTCCACACCTTGTGATGCCCTTTGTTCTATATAGCTTCTCACCTAAAAAAACGAGGCTTACAACAATTTATAAAGGCTGGTGAAATCCATGGAATACAGTGTGATTGAAATCATACATTTGCACACAACTTGCAAACAATCAAGGTACTATGCAAATTATGTGGTAACAGCATAATCAAACAACATTGTGCCATATGAAAAAAGTAAAGCTACAATCAGAAGGTTGGGGGAAAGAGAAAGTCATATTTAGTAGAGGTTGGTGCCTTATATGAGCCTTCAGCTAGGTTGAAGATACAGCAGAATCAAAGCTTTTGTCCTATAATCATTTTAAGGTTATTAGCTTTTGACTCTTTTGAAAGGGAGTTGGTTTGGGAAGTTTAAAAGCACCCAGTAGGATCCTTTCTTCTTCAAAAATATCGTCGGCAGTGCTTTTCTTTATCTCTGCTTCGAAGGCCCTCGGCCATAGTTTTCCTAGAGGTGATCTATCTTTGGTTTAGCCAATTATACAAAGGATTCCAATTGTTGTAATAGGATGAGGATTCTTTATTTTTTAATGCTTGGGTTAGTTTGTTCATTTCGGCGCATTGTAAAATTTTCTGAATAACCATATGTTCAGTGGGGATAGAAGGTAATTTCCAGCATTGGGCGAATGCCAATCTGGCTGCGGTTAAGATATGAATTACAATATACTTCGATTTTTTGGGTATTTGTTTATCGAAAATTCCTAGAAGGAAGGACTCTGGTTTGTACTCAATTTGTTCCTTGGTTATTTCCTCTAGCCAGCGCCTACTTTTTTGTCAGTACTTCTGGGTTTCCTTGCATGACCACCACATGTGGAAGAAGGTACCTTCTATGCTTTGGCATTTCCAACAATTGGGGCTCGTGTTGGGGTGCATCTTCACCAATCTCGAAGGGGGCAAGTGCCATCTATAAAACATTTTATATGCGTTTTCTTTATAAGCTGCTGATTTCGTGATCTTAATGTTCCTGTTCCAGATCCTTTCCCATTCTGCTAGGGTAATGATCCGTCCCACGTTTCTGCTCCATGCAATCATATTTCCTTTGACAATTTCTTGTTCTAATTCAGTTTCTAATAAATGTTTGTAAAATTTAGATATATTTTTTTTGCTCGGTCCTAATAGGATTTTGTCTAATGTCTGTAATTTATTGTAGATTCCAAATTCCTTAATATCTTGTTTGTATCTACTATGAATTTGAAGGTACACCCACTGATCAATTATAAATCCTTGCTCTTGTAATTCTTGTCGTGTTTTCAGTTTTCCTTGTGGATCTAATAAATTTTCGTACTTAATCATTTTAGTTATATCTAAATTATTAGGGTGTACTATCGCTTCCATTGGAGATAGCCAAATCGGTATTTTTAGATAGAGTTTTTTACGTACTTTTTTCCAATTGGTTAATAGAGAGTCCCTGATAAGATGCCTATGGAAATATGATTGCCTGGGTTTCCCAGTTTCCCACAGAAAGGCATGCCATCCTTTTTGCATATCGTGGCCTTCTAATATTAGTGTTCTTTTGTTGGTTATATTCACCCATTCCTTTATCCATAGTAGGGTGGCTGCCTTATAATATATTTCCCAGTTTGGCAGGCCTAACCCTCCTCTGCTTTTCAAATCTTGTAGGGCTTTTACATTAATCCTAGCTTTTTTCCCCTGCCCAATAAATTTCAGTGTTATCTTGTTTAATTCCATAAATTTTTTTTTATTTAATTTGATTGGAATCGTCTGGAATAGATATAGAAATTTTGGCAGAATATTCATCTTAATCAGAGCAATCCCGCCCAATAAGGAAAGTTGTAATGTACTCCAGGAATCTAAATCTTTCTTGAATTGTTGGAGAAGTTTGTCATAATTGTTCACAAAATATGGTTTTATTTTAACTGTTTTCCCTACTCTACCCTTCCCCTCCCTTACTCTTCCCTTTTTCCTCGCTTAGGCTTTCCTCTCTTTCCCTCTTGGCCTATGCTAAGGCCTGTTTGTCTTTTTGTTGTACATAACTTGTAGTTGTGTTGTGCTTTTAAAGGTAAAACTAATAAAGTATTTTTCAAAAAAAAAAAAAAAGCACCCAGTAGGTGTAACACATCTTCAAGGACACATGGTACCCCTTATTTTAGCAAACGGCAGGAACTCAGGCTACTGAAAATTGTGGTACTAAATATATTGGTGATGCAATCAAGGATGTTTAAGTGCATGAAATAGGTGAAACAAGTCACACAGAATCTGAGGATTGCTCACCCTGACGTCTGTGTGTCTCTGTGTGTCTGTGTGTGTATCTTAGATGCCGCAGATGCCGCTGAAGAATGTGTCATTGGTGGAATGTAAATTGAAATACACTGGTATGTTTGGGAAGAAGAACATGATGATGATAATAGAGATATCATATTTAACACAATATTTTAACTGATAATGTGAAATACCCAGACTCTATCTTCCTGGTATGCTCCTTGGAGTCAGAAAATTGTGCTTCCTCATTTTCCCTTCCTTTGTCCAATCTAAGTCTCACCCGCCAAGAGAAATGCCAACTGCCATCAGTGGTGCACAAGGGAACCGACGCTTGATGTGGTCCACTACCAGTTCCAAGTCCTCAGTATTGGAGGCACAGAAAGACCGGTGCGTCTGAAAATAAGAGAGAGGGACATGGATGGGAGATCAAAAGCAACCCTGAACAGCAGCAAAAAGCTGCATCTTCTAAAAGAGAGGCACATGAGTGCGTATGGATTACCTGTAGCAGACAAGCCCTCTGTCAACTCATAAAATATTTCTCTGGTCTTTTTAGAGTTGCCAACAGAAAGGGAGGTGGGAGCAGTGCACAACTTGCAAAACCAAAACTGCATTCCATAAATGTTTTCAAAGATAGTAACTAGGTGACTGAAGTTTCTGCCACACAAAATTCTAACTGGAGAGCATGATTGATGACTCTTGGCTATGGATGTGTCCCATTGGAGAATATGAATTATGATACACCCAGAGGGTAGGGGAGAACCAGGGTCAAGGGTAACAATGAATTATGTTATGTGTCTCAGAATCGGCTATACCCAGGCAGTGCCGGCATGTTAACTCTCAATAAATCCTTTTTAAATTTTGGAAGTTTGGCTTGAGACTCATGATTTAAATGGGAGTAACTGCCAGAATCCCGACACCCTCCTTTCCCCATGTAATTAAAAGGATTTGTAACTATCTCAGCTGCCAACATGTACACACAAACAATTTTGTGCTACACTGCAATAGTTCTTACCAGCAGCTCTTCTCCTCTGCATCCTCGATTATTAAACACAACAGCCCTGGAAGGGATAATGGTAAATTTCCATAAGAAATAATTTTCATTTTCATACAACCCTATTCTCATTAGCCCTCAAACAGAACTGAACTCCCAAATGAATGGCGCACTTGATCCAAAGTGAAACAAATCCAGTTCTCCAAATCTCAAAACATTGGGTGGGTTGTTTTTTTTTTGTGATTCTCACCTGTAGCCGTGGCTCTGAGTGTTGCATACCAAATGTAGAATGTATGTTTCTTGGCTGTTGCCTGTCAAGCCTGGCAAAAACAGGACAATGGGGCAATTTTCTGGGTCAGGTTGGGTCCCATCATCAGGATCAGCCCAATCCAAGAACAGCTGCCCTCCATCTGCGGTTTGCAGCAATTCACTGAATGAGATGTCAAAAGATTAAGCAAAATGTGGACAGAATGGCACTCACTGTTATGTCTACTGCCTCAACCCAACAATGCCCAGAAGTAGCAATGGCCTCCCTCCTTCATAGTGGACCCACCTGTGGTAGGAGACAAATGGGCAGGATTTGATAAAGGCACGGACAATGGTCTGAAGTCGACCTTCAAAGCACCATGGTGTAGGGTAGAATGTCTCCTTCACAATGGGACAATACTTCTCCAAGAAGGACCGGAAAGGCTGACAAGCCACCAGGAGTGGGCGCTGCAAAGGATCGAGTGGAATTACAGACAATGAACTTGAAAAACAAATCAAACTCAAGATGTCCTCCACTGCCCTTCAGTGGAGAAACTCCTCTACCTGCTTGTGGAGAAGATGAATCACCCTGAGGCAACAAGGCAGGAAAGCATTTGCAAATTAGATGAAAATCTCCCCCCCCCCGCCGCCCAAAAAAAGCTTCTCATAATACCCCAAGAAGCTAATAAAAGGTTATTTTAATATAACAGCTTCAAAAAGTACAGTAGAAAGGAACCATATTTATCAAAAGGCTGAGATGCCCTTCTCATGAAGAAAAACTAGAATGGCCGGGACTCTCTAGCTTTGAAAAACACTGTCGGGGGGTAGGGGGGATGAATAAAGTAGATAAAAATAATGGATAAGGATATATTTTTCTTCCTCTCTCAGAATGCTAGGACCAGAAGCCATCTAATGAGGCTGAGTGGGAAAAGATTTAGGACAGATTAAAAAAAGGAAGTAATTTTTCACCCAGCCAATAATGGGCCTGTGAAATTCATTACCACAGGATTTGGTTATGACCACTAATGGATGTTTGCAGAGATTCTCAATCATCCAGGTCATAGTTGTCCCAAAGGTGGTTTTTCAGGGGGCAATTGGACTTTCTTGTTTTTTCTTCTGAAGATGTTTCATTTCTCATCCAAGAAGCTTCTTCAGCTCTGACAGGATAGTGGGGAATGAAAGGATTTATATTCCTTGTCAGAGCTTAAGAAGCTTCTTGGATGAGAAGTGAAACATTTTCAAAAGAAAAAAACAAGAAAGTCCCGTTACCTTCTGAAAAAGCTCCTTTGGGACAACCATGACCTAGATGACTGGAAATCTCTACAGACTGTTAGCTCTACAATTTGGGATGAACACTCTTTGAATGATATGGGAGTAGGAATGGATTTCCAGAGAAAAAAATTGCAGACTACAGGAACCAGGAGATGACCCTGAGGACACAGAAAAACCTCGAAGTGCTTCAAGGACCCTCTAAAAGGATGCAAATGTCAGCTGTCTGCAAGGAATATAAATCCTTCCCCACTATCCTGTCAGAGCTGAAGAAGCTTCTTGGATGAGAAGCGAAACATCTTCAAAAGAAAAAACAAGAAAGTCCAGTTGCCTCCTGAAAAAGCACCTTTGGGATCACTAATTGATGGTTTTCAAGGGCAATTGATTAAATTCATGGAGGGAAGCCTGAAAATTCCTTGGACTAAAAGACTTAGTGTTATCTCTGGGTTGGGGATTGCCTGCCCTAACCAGTAGCTGCAAATGAATGATGACTGAGAGAGGTGTATCGGTCTCCTTGGCTTGTGAGTATCTTAGAGGCATCTGGTTGGTCACTGTAGAAAACAAATTACTGGATGAAGATGAGCATTGGCCTGATCCATCAGGTTTGTTCTTATGTAATATAGGTATGTGTAGGCAGACGGGCTAGCACATCAAGATTACAGTCAAAATAGTCATCTACAGAATTATTTTTGAAGGTCATTGTTCTGCCAGGTTTCTGGGAGGGAGAAATAGAAGCTATATTGATCCCTCTGAAGGATATGCCCTAATTTTGCAATCCTAGAACCAAAGCAACAAAGGCACAGCCCAGATTATGCAAAGGCCAGAATTTGTAATAGGATCCAAGGATCTGTTTCTCAGCAGGCAACTCGTCTGTCCTTATACGATAAACATCTTCTGTTTCTTAAAATTCAGCCTGCAATGCAAAGTTCAACTGAATGTAAAACATGGAACTCTGCATGGCTATCTTCTGGATATCAAAAACCAGGAGACCGTGAGTTCTAGTTCCACCATATGCATGAATGGTTGGATGATTGTGAGCTAATCACTCTTTCTCAGCAAAACTCACCTCAAAGGGGGTGGTTGCGGGGGGGGGGGGGGGGGGGGGGGGGGGGGGGATAGGAGGAGGAGGGAGTACTATATTATGTATGTTTGCCACCTGGAGTTGTTCATAAAGATAATAAAGGTGAGATAATAACTCAAGCCTAGCAAGATGGAGTGGCTGTGGATATTTGGACACTCCAGAGACAAGGTTCTTCCATCTTTAGTTCTGGATGGGGTTTCACTACCCCAGATAGACCTGCTGCACAATCTGGGGGTTCTCTTAGACGTTTGGCTCCTAGTCAGAAAGCAGAGGGCAGCAGTGGCTAGGAAGGTTTTTTTCACCTCTTTGGGTGGTATGTCAATTACACCCATACCTAGACTAGGAAGCCCTGCTCACAATAACCCATACCCTTGTAACCTCTCATTTAGACTACTGTAACATGCTCTACATAGGGCTGCCCCTGAAGAGCATTTGGAAACTCCAACTGGTGCAGGTGCAGGTAGTAAATGGTGCCAGATATATCGCACATTTGACATCACTTTTGTGTGAGCTGCATTGTTTAACAGTGGGTTTCCAGGTGCAATTCAAGATGCTGGCTGTCACCTGATACCAGATTAACTGTGGTTGAACAAGATAAAAGTAGTATGCTGAGATGGGAGATGGACAGATCAGAATTTTATCTCAGATTCCAAAATACAGAGGAAGAAAAGGGACAAAACCTAGCTGAGATAATGATAGAAATATTGGCTGAAGCTTTGGAAATAACTGAAGAGAAGATAATGGATGGAATAGATGAGGTTTATTGAGTCTTCACAAGATACGTAATGAGAAATAGCCTACCAAGAGAAGTTCACATCAGATTTACAAAGAAAGCCATTAAAAGGCAAATATTGCAAGTGGCAAGAGAGAAAACATTGAAATATAAAGATAAGGAGATTGTGGTTTTGAAACAAGTACCCAGGAGAGTGAGAGAGATGAGAAGAGAATACTAATTCTTGACCAAATTGCTACTTAAATAAGAGGTGAATTATAGATGGCTGATTCCAGAAGGTTTAATGTTCACATGGCAAGAACAGAGATACAGAATTGATTCAATTGAGAAAGCTGAATCATTTTATACAGAATCTTTCAGAGGGAAAGAGGAAGAGGCAGAAAAAGAAATTTCACTAATTGAATTCCAAGAGGACTGCCAAATGATGACTGAAAAAGAGGAAGGTGCAGTAGGTGGAAAGGAGGAAGCCAAAGGACAACGTGAACCAAGATCCACGAGAGCTGCCAAACCTAATTATAAAATATAACCATGGAAGAGAAAAAATTGATTACAATTAATATAAATGGACTTAATTCAGCCGTTAAAAGAAGGAAAACTTTCCATAAATTAGAGAAATTAAAATTTGATATAATCTGCCTACAACAAGTACATATTAAAAAGCAATATGAACAATTGTTGATACAGCCAAAACTAGGGAAAATATTTACCTCCTTGACACAATGTAAGAAAAGAGGAGTGGTTTTATATATTAAAGAGACCATTCCAGCAAAATTGATTTATACTGATGACGACGGAATACTAATGGTGGAAATAATGGATAATAATACGAAAACACTCCTGATTGCAATCTATGCCCCGAATGATAAACAAGAAGAATTTTATAAAAAATTACATATCAAAATAATTGAACTGGACTATGCTAATATAGTTATGATGGGAGATTTTAATGGAATTGTAGACAACAAACTGGACTATACAGCACAGAAAACAATAAAGCAAAACAGAAAGACTCTCCCTAAATCTTTTTTTAATATGGTAGATGAAATAAACTTAAAAGATACATGGAGAGAAAGAAATGCTAAAACTAAACGATACACCTTCTACTCAAATAGACACTTATCATGGTCCAGAATAGATATGATATGGATGTCAACAGAATTGTTAACTAATATTCAAGAAATAAATATTGAAACAAGTACATGGGCAGATCACAATCCAATGACAATTAAATGGAAAGGACAAAGAAGATCTAGATGGACGCTAAATAATACTATTTTAAAGGAAAAAGACTTCACACAGTGGATGGAGAAAGAACTGCCTTTTTTCTTTAGAGAAAACAAAAAAGAAGATACATCAATCCAGAATGTATGGGATACAATGAAGGCATATGCCAGAGGCTTGATAATAAACTATACAAGGAAAAGAAATACCATGAAAAGATTAGCCTCTAAGGCATTAGAGGATGAGTATAAAGGACTTGAAAAAGAGCTACAGAAAATGCCACAGAAAAAGGACATTAAGTTAAAAATGGATATAACTAAACATAAAATGGGTCTAATAGAAAAAGAAGAATTAGCACAGAAAATTAGAGGTGCTAAACAGAATTACTTTGAAGATGCAAATAAACCAGGTAGATGGTTAGCATATAAACTGAGAAAGGAGAAAGAATCAAGGAAAAAAATGCAATTAATAGATGATCAAAGCCAAGTTTGCTATGGTAGTAAAGAGAAGAAGGAAATCATTCGAGACTATTATGGGAAACTATACACACAAGAGAATATTGATGAGGAAAGAGTCAAACAGTACCTACAGAATGCTAAGTTACCCCAGATACCTAAAGAGATTGAAACAATGTTAGAAAGCAATATAACGATGATGGAGTTAACTGAAGCACTCAAGAAGCAAAATAATGGAAAGGCACCAGGCCCAGATGGACTTTCGGCAGAATTTTACAAAACATTATAAGAATCGTTGAATCTTCCATTGCTAGAAGTTATGAATGAAGTTATGTTAAAGAAGAGGATACCTAAATCATGGTCTTATATCAGAAGCTTATATTACACTTGTTCCAAAAGAGGAGGCCGATCCATTACAAATCAAGAACTATAGACCTATTTTCCTACTAAATGCAGATTATAAAATTTTTGCTTCAATATTGGCAGAAAGACTTAAAAAATACTTAAATAATTTTATTCATCCTGATCAAAATGGATTTCTACCAAAGAGACAAATTAAAGACAATATAAGAGTAATCTTGGACACTTTGGAATATTATGAGGCACATCCTGAAAAACAAATGGCTTTGATATTTCTAGATGCACAGAAGGCATTTGATAATGTGAATTGGCGATTCATGTTGTTACTGCTGGAACAGATGGGCTTTGCTAGAAAATTTATTCAAGCAATAAAAGCTATATATCATAAGCAAACGGCAAAGGTAATGATAGAGGGAGAACTGACAGACTCTATTGATATAAGAAAAGGAATAAGACAAGGGTGCCCACTGTCACCTCTGTTGTTTGTGTTAACTTTGGAAGTGCTAAATAGAAATATTAGAGATGAAAAGAATATAAAAGGGATGAAAATTAAAAAGGAAGAATTTAAGTTGCAAGCATTTGCAGATGATCTGGTTTTTATTTTAGAAGACCCACTAGAAACAGCATCAAAATTGATAGAAAAGAGACATATGGAAAGGTGGCTGGTTTGAAAATAAATAAAGATAAGACAAAGATCTTGACAAAGAATATGCTATCAAGACAAAAGGAAGAACTGGCAGACCTATTGAAAATTCAGGTCACGAATAAGATCAAGTACTTGGGGATATACTTGACAGCAAGATGCAATACACTAAAAGAAAATAATTATATCAAACAAACAGCAGATAGCGCTAGATTTGGCGAAATGGGAAAATTTACAACTGTCATTAATAGGGAGAATATCAACAATCAAGATGAATATATTACCCAGAATTTTATATTTGTTTCAAACTATTCCAATTAGGCTTGGAAAAGATTTCTTTGAAGATTTAAATAAAATTGTGTTGAAATTTATATGGCAAAGTAAGAAAGCAAGAATAAAGTTAAAACTTTTGCAAGATGCTAGAATAAGAGGATTTGGTTTGCCTAATTGGGAGTTGTATTACCAAGCTACAAATTTGATGTGGGTTAAGGAATGGATAACATTAAGAAATACTAGATTGTTGACATTAGAAGGACATGATCTGTTGTTGGGGTGGCATGCTTTTCTATGGTATAAAGGAACTAAAACACAGGGGTACTTTAGAAGACAGTATATACGGGAGTCTCTGTGGTTAAACTGGGAGAAGATTAAAAGACAGTTATTTGAAAATTCCAGTCTGGCTATCGACTATTGAAGCATTTTCTTATCCTATAATGTACAAAAAGGAACAACATGGTGAAATATTGAATGGTGAAATATTGAATGGTGAAATATTGAAT